TAATTAATATAATAAATTTGTATCATAAAAACTCTAGAAATAGTGAATATACATATAATAATCGATGTGGAAATAGTATTGTATAAACATTATAAATAGATTATAATTTACACAGTAAATAAATGTTTTATTTCGAGATATTAAAAGTTTTGCATTTGAACCAATGAAAAATTAATTACAACGTTACTACAAACCCAGTCCAATGGTTCCATTTTTGATTGCATTGCGAAGATTTTACATTACTATATATCATTTCTTTTGGATTTTTGATTTAATCTATTCTCATAATTATCAGCACATACATGTATTTGTTTTTCAATATTAAGCTGATTGGGTTACGATTAAAACCTGGTGTAATTTTTAATAAAAATAATTATCTCAGGATTATTAAATTATTATGCAAAAAAAAATATATCACAGTTTGATCAATGATGACACCGAATTTTTCATATCACTTTTAGATTTGATAACGTCTTGATAAAAAGCTTCAATCCAATTTTGATTTTTCAGATGTTGTATCTCTTTCTTACCTCTTACTGCTATAGTCTTTAGAAAATTTCATTTTTTCTACAATATAACAAAAATTAAAAATTTAGTCGTTTTTGGAATAATGTAATTAATCAATGTCAAATCAAACTTTTCATTGAAATATCAATTAATAATAGTTAATCTTAATGAAACTTGATGTCCAAATTAAAATTACTAAAATGAAATATTTTATTAAATTATTAAATTCAATATGAGTATTTTGATATTGGATTATATGGAAAGATATTATAATCAATTCGTTGAAATACCTTGTCACACATATAGAATATATGATAATTTCGACATTTTCAATAAATCAATTAAAAAGTATTGTGAACAAAAATTATTTAATTATTTAATTATTTAATTATAACAAAGTGGAGTATTAAAAATGATGAAAATACGTTGTCTTCGATAAAAAAAGGAGGATAGCTTCGTTTTCATATACGACATTTTGTAATTTCTTGTATTTGGTATTTTAGGTAACACTGAAACAAATGTAGATATTTATCTGATAAAATTTTTTCCTTTCGATAACTTAATCAGAACATTATTTGTAAATGCAATAATAAATCACTTATGCCATTAATCCATTTTTCCTTGGAATTTATCTCTAATGAATAAATAGAAAATTCAATAATATTATAGATTATCCTCTAAAATTTTTATTCTTCGTTTCGACTTATCGAGATTTCTGGTTTAGAAGAATAATTTATTTGTTTTATGTTTTCATGATTTTATGTTTAATCTTGACAATGTAAATCCTTAAGATGAAAACAGGTGAAAGGAAGTATCGAATGATGGGTTTCTGAAATCTTATGATACATATCTCATAAACTTCGAATTGTAAAACTAGGGATAACAGAAGCTCGCCTTGTAGAGGTACACTTTGATTCGTAACTCAAGACACGTAGGTCAGGACTCGTAGCTCAAGACACATAGGTTAAGATTTGTAGTTCAGGACTCATAGCTCAGAACACATAGGTCAGGATTCGTAGCTCAGAACATAGAGGTCAGGACTCGTAGCTCAAGACACGCAGGTCAAGATTCGTAAGTCAGAACTCGTAGGTCAGGACTCGTAGCTCAAGACACATAGATTAGCATTCGTAGTTCAGGACTCGTAACTCAAGACTCATATCTCAGAACACCTAGATTAAAATTCGTAAGCCAGGACTAGTAGGTCAGGACTCGTAGCTCAAAACATGTAGTTCAAAATTCGTAAGCCAAGACTCGTAGGTCAGGACTCGTAGCTCAAGACTTGTATCTCGAACATGTAGATTAAAATTCGTAAGCTAGGACTCGTAGCTCAGGACCTATAGCTCAGTATACATAGGTCAGGATTCGTAGGTTAAAACTTGTAAGATCTGACTATTGTAACTTCCAGTTTCAGACATAACAGAATGCATCTAGATATACGGCAAATAATTTGAATTAACGCTCTCATAGCCATCAGAGGGTTAGTTTAGACCTAGGCACTCACACAGCCATCAGTGAGTTTTATAAGACCTTCCTATTTTAATAATTGCGACAAAATACTTATTTATCTCTTTATTTCTCAATAATTTAGCTTTACAGTGTCATATACTGAAGAGCTAGCTTACCTTTGAACATTTTAACAGTTTTTCTTTTGCCTGTTTAAATATGTAATCGAGTGCCTGGGTCTAAGAAGACCTTCCTCGTAATTCTTATTTCGATGGTTTTGCGAGTGTCGAAGCAAGTTTCCTTCCAATTCATAGTCCTCGAGTTTAAGTGGCTAAAATCATCGTGATTCGACTGTATTTTTTAAACGATACAGTAAAGTTATATAAACAGCAGTAAAATTAATAAAAAATAGAATTAAAATAAAAGAATGAAAAATAATTTGTTGCAGGCATGTCACGAAACAGATCCAAACAAACTAAACATCCATCTAGTTGCTCACACCCACGATGACGTCGGGTGGTTGAAAACGATTGACCAGTACTACTTTGGAAGTAAGTATAGTATCAAAATACTTAGCATGATATTTATTATCAACATAGAATGTTTATTAAATGACGTTCTGTATTATGTTTTTGTTTATTTCTTTAAACAAAGGTCGCCCAAAACTTCAGAAAGCGGGGGTGCAATATATTCTAGATAGCGTTATTCAGGCATTAGTGGCTGATCCTGAAAGAAAGTAATTATGACACTTTTATTATAACTATTTTTCAGATGACAACTATTGTTATCATGATTTATATTTTATAGAATTAAGAAAATATTATATAAAAATGATAGATTGATAGATGAATGAAAGAAATAGTTTTTTACAAATTTTCTATTAGATGTTGCTATTACAATGATTAAAAATAATAATTTCTTTTACATTTCTGTCATATTTCATGTTCATAACGTTCTTATGTATTTTGTCAGGTTTATTTATGTGGAAACTGCTTTCTTGTGGAAATGGTGGTTACGTCAAAACGAGGAGGTGAAGGAAACTGTGCGAAACCTAATCAATGAAGGTAGATTAGAAATTATTAGTGGTGGATGGACTATGAACGATGAGGCAACTACTCATTATCAATCTCTTGTGGATCAATATACTTGGGGTTTCAGGTAAAAATTATTGTGTTACGTTATTATTGTAGGATTTTTGGCTAAAGTAATCCTATGCAGACAGAGTTCTGCACGTCTAATAAACAACAACTCTCTTTTTATAACAAAACAGGTTTTATTTAATTCATTTGCATCATGGCTCTACTTAAGGTGCCGTGTTCAGACATCAGCGACGTTCAACCGACGTCTAGCCCGTATCACCGCGCGCGTATCAGCACCTACTCATAATGGCAGTTAAAAAAATTTTCACAACAAAAGTAAAACTTGTTAAGAATATAATGAACCGATATAGATGAGATGCTCACAAAACGGATTAAACGTGATCTGTGGCATATGAAGAATATTCAGCAACTGGTAATGGAAAAAGTCAGCTCGTGGATTATTCCGCGCTCGGTGATAGGCGTCAGTCGTAGCTCGCGGAATATTCCGCGCTCGGTGCTAGACGACAGTCGTGGCTCGCGGAATATTCCGCGCTTGGATGCAAATGGGTTAACTAAAATATACTAAGTTTCTCACACAGTCCTCTATTCACTACGTCTCTGCCACACACATTCAGCCTTCTGCCTTGGGACTTCTCTCTACTGTGCCTACTCTCAACTTTGCGTTCTCTACCTTCTTTTCAAGTCTACCTTCTTCTACTCACTTCCTCGCGCCCTTGCATCCTTACTTAAAACCAAAACTATCTCTTTTCATACACAGGGCCCGATGCCGTCGTTCGCTATCCCTCACTTTTCGAGAAGCCGCCCAAACGTTTCCATGTACTCCCTTAGAAGTAAGACCGCACATCCATTCACCACGCTACTACTCTTAATACTTTGTTAGTGTCCTTCACCGTTCATCATCCCACATTATTAATATTATCATCTTAAGAAAATCATTAGTCTACATATTATTATTTTAAGAAAGTAATTCGAAATACGCATAGAAAAAATATGAAAGTGTGATCAACATTTATTGGATTATTGTATTAAAGTTGTTTAATTATGTTATACAAGATATATATATATATATATATATTAAAATAAATTTTCTTATTTTCTCAATTTTTGAAATTTCATCTCTTTTTCTAGATTAGCGAATTATGTAATTTACCCTTAGATAGCAAAGATAAAAATTTCGAGATTAGACATTTTTGTGATATATATTCAATTTTCCTATTATTTTCTTAATTTCTTTAATTTCTTATTTTTCTAGACGTCTCAATGATACCTTTGGAAGCTGTGCTAGGCCACACATTGGATGGCAAATAGATCCTTTCGGTCATTCTAGAGAACAGGCATCCTTATTGGCACAATTGGGATTCGATGGAATGTTTCTCGGTCGGCTTGATTATCAAGATAAGGCCAATAGGCTCAAAGAGAAAACGATGGAATTTATTTGGAAAGGAAGCCCAAATCTAGGTAATGATCGAGTTCCAGAAAATACATCTATTATTTAAAGGTGTAATGGAAATCTTCGAAAGCAATATAGGTTTGATTCATCAGAATCTATCACGTCCATACGAATTTTTGTTATTAATAGCAAGTGTCATATTTATATACAAAATAAATCACATAGCATCGCATGACAAAGAAAGAGAACAGGATATATCATTCATAGTGAGCAATATAAAACAGTAGTGTACTTAGTATTAGTTACTAACATAAGATAAGAAGAGTACCAACGTAACTTATTCTACTTTTAGTTATATCAGGATATGCAGAGACATAAACATATTTGAAATTTGTGTATGTATCATATGAGCGAAATATAGTTCTACGTTTCGCCACTACGCGGCTCTAGTTGACACTCTTTTAAATACTCTACCAAATTCCACTATTCAAAGTTAATTAGTTTATTTTTTATGATTCTTTTCCTGCTCCTTGGAGGTAAATTTGATGATTTTTTAATGTATCTTCACTGATTCAAATATGTAGAATCACGCTGTAATGATTATGATAAATAATTTTCATGCACTCTATACATTAGGAGCATAAAATTAAAAATTTTGCAAATATCAAAAGTGGATCAGAGCAGAGCAAATAGAGTAATTTATCCCAAATTAGAAAATTTCTAATAATTTATATCTTAATAATAATAATTAAAAGTTTTTCTTTCATAAATCTTTTCAAATATATATCATTTTGCAAGACTACTTTTTACCTCTGCACAATATATTAATATAATTATTCAAAGATGTATTGCATTCTTTGTTATAGGAACAAAAGCAGACCTGTTTACAGTTGCATTGTATAATACTTACTCACCCCCACCTGGTTTCTGTTATGATGTCCTGTGCAATGATGAACCAATAATTGACGATCCCGATAGTCCGGATTATAACGTTGACGAAAGGGTATGTATCATTTATAATTCAGTTTCAAATCATTTTTTGTAAATTAACGTTTAGATTCATGCTCAAACACATCTGTTTATGCGTTAAAGATTAGACTGTTTATGGGTTTCATTAGGTTCATATTAATTTGTTTCTTATTAATCTGCATTAGGTAAATTCCATAATATGTAATGCATATAAAATATTCATGTAGTTTTTTTTTTAATTAGAACAAAAACACATTTCATTAACAGAAAGTAATACAAATTGCTTACAAATGCTTCTATACTTACTAATCAATCTAATTTTAGAACGACACTGTTGTATTTTTTAATATGCTGTGGTATAGTGTAGATCAACAGTTCTCGACCTTTTTCCCTTACATACCAACCAATATGTGATCAAGTTCAGCGTCAGATTGGTTCAGGTGCCACCTGGAAATGTTCAACGTACCACAGGTTGAGAACCACGGGTGTAGATAATACTATGGGGACGCGGATGACTCAAAACAGAGATGAAATATTTTAAATATTATTCAACATTCCCCAAAAATTTGTTTCTATTTTTTTTTCAGTCATTAAACACTAGAATCACTATATTATGTTACAGACATAAAGTACCCAGCAATGCAAAGGGTCTAAAATTAATAAGCTATAAATAATTTATTTATAGTCTTGCAGTTATAGTATACTTTTTATACAGATAACTTAATATAATTCTTTTTCTTGATATTTCATAAACTGATTTCTTTGCATCTCTACAAAGAAGATTAAATTTCACAGTGTCGTTCTAGAATTAAACTTTTATTATCATTTGTTACGTTTCCGAATTATGAGCAATATAGATAGTTTAATTTTCCTGATCATGTACAAACAACGAAAATTGTTTTATCAGTAGACTGTAATCCATCTAAAGATTATAAATTTGTATTAAGTGTATACGTATGCATATAATAGAAATCACTTTCATAGTTAATACAATCATCGAATAATTCAAGAAAATTATTTTTTTACCATTTAAACGAGTAACTTACAAAAGATGATTCGAAAATTCAGCAAATGTATTCATCGACCTCGAATTTCCTTCCTTTTTGCTAACACTACCGAAATAGAATTTCAACTAATTCGCTTGATTATTATGCATACCAAAAATCTACCTCATACTAATTTCTTATTCGTCCATGTCTTTAAAGTAAACTTAATCGTTCGTTACAATTTGATCTAATCTATAATTCCCTTGATCATTATAGGTATCGTTAAACTTTTAATATTATAGACATTATAGACATTATTATATGGCATTAACATTATTATACTATACTAATACTAATTTTCTGTTCAACATTTTGTTCATTGCTTTTAAAATGAGCTTAACCGTTTGAATGTCAGGAGTTATTAGAAAAATCTTATAAATAAATCAAGAATTTATTTAAATATATTATTTACTTAGAAATTATTTGATATATCAATTTTATTAATATTATAATTAATATTATAATGTATTTCATACATATTAACGTTACATATTACATTTAGGTCTAGTTATAATATCATTTTTAAGCTCAAATAGTGTAATACCTAATTTGTTAATGCATTATATCAATTTTAAAGTGAACTTCTAATATAATATTAAGAGTGTCTTCTACTGTCAGGGTCGAAAAGAAAAGTCATATTCGGAAATTATTTTCAAAAAAACCATAGAAGTTTTTAATATGTAAGTTTTGCTGTTTTGTTTATTCGTCCTTAAACTATAAAAACAAATTTTTTCAATTGAAATAAGTGAAAGCTTTAAAAGTTTTAAAAATGTATCCCGATAATTAACTTACGTGATTCGGACTACTGTACTTATCTGAAAAGGACAAGTAATAAAGCATTTGATTCAGTAAGGATATAGTTATGGTTCGAACTAGGATCAAATTGTTCAAGATTTTAAAAAATGGCGGCACCTCATCGACTTTTATTCGGCTTTCCGCGTTTAAAAAAATAGAAAAAGAGATCAAACTTTGATAATTTTAGTTACGGCGATAAAAGCATGTTTCTTGAAGTCACTGTTTACATTTGAAGTAAATCAGTTCATTAGAACTTGAATTATCGTGTCGGCAAGTTTCAAAAATGTGGTTTTGAGAAATACTCGTTTAACCTTAATGTGGTGACGCAAAGCCAAATTGACTCTGTATCGTCAGTGGTTAGATTTAAATAAATAATATACTTACAAGCAGTATGATATAGTACTTCTTATCAATAGTGGTGACTCAAAGTCAAATTGACTTAGCTGTTGTAAGTATATTACTTGTAGGTATAGTACTACTTATTTAGATCTCATCATACGAAGTTAATTTGACATCAAGTCACCTCTACTGATACGGAGTTAATTTAACTTCATGTCACTACTATTATAATGATACGGAATCAATCTGACGTACATCAACACTAGTGTTAGGAATCAATTTGACTTTGCGTCATCACTCTAAGGTTAAACGAGTATTTTTCGAAACCACATTTTTGAAACTGGCTGACACGATAATTCAAGTTTTAATGAATCGATTTACTTCAGATGTGAACAGTGACTTCAGGAAACATGCTTTTATCGCCGTAACTAAAATTATCAAAGTTTGATCTCTTTTTCTATTTTTTTAAACGCGGAAAGCCGAATAGAAGTCGATGAGGTGCCGCCATTTTTTAAAATCTTGAATTGAAAAATCTCTATTGATAAGGAGTCAATTTGATGTCACGTTATCACTAATATTATGAAAATAGTGATCACCATTTGAACGTTAGAATTTTAGATATACAAAATAGTGGATATTCGGGAACTGTCAGAGAACTCTATATCTCGGCTAATATTTCGAATTCCGTGAAATAGCTTTGACGATATATTTTCAAAAATTCGATCCTTAAGAAAATGAAAAAGAAAAGTAATCGATTCACCCTAGGAAGTAGAAGACTCCCTTAAGCACATTGTATAAATTTTGATATAATTTTATCTACATTACCATTTGTATAAATTTTGTTATAATTTTATACATAATTATATCAGTTTTTAAATGGTCACAAAAGCCATGGGTGAAAAAGGGTTCGAAGGAAGCTCTAAGGTTAATTCTTGGGGAACTTGCTTTATGAGAGGGCGTTGTAGTAGAGTCACAGTTCAAAAACAATGATGCCTAACGACTCAAAATCTGAACAGCGTGATCGTACTACGTGGCAGTTAAACGGTTAATTATTCATTGAAATTCAATTTGATTACATATCTAAATTAATTTCGAGGAGTTGAATTTTAATTAATAACATTTGACTGACAACGATGTCTCCTGTAAAACAGATTCATGCGTTTATGCAATACGTGGTTGACCAAAGCAAAGTATATCGTACGAATGACGTAATACTAACAATGGGAGGAGATTTCACTTATCAGCAGGCGGAAATGTACTTCTTTAATATGGACAAACTAATAAGGTAGCTTTATATTCGTTAAAACTTTACTTTCGTTTTACGTAAGGCTGGGTTCGAACCTAATTTTCGAATTCTCGAAACTCGAAATCAAAATTTTATAAAATTCCGAAACTCTTGAAGATGTCAAATTTCGGAACTTGAAATTTTCTTTGGTTGTGGAATTAAGAGAAATTTTCTTTGCAAATCGATCAAAAATATAGAGGAATTTCGTAGTTTCGACGCTTCGAAGAACTCAGTCTAGTTTGACATAATACAGAGTGTAGGCAAAAAAGGAAGGAAAAGGTCCTATAATTCAACTAATTATTAATGATCGATATTTGGTAAGTAAAATCTATTGTGCCATTGACAGGTTGAACAATTAATACGATATGCTGAACGTCAATCAACATTTTACAAGACTAATAATGTTATCTTCACAATGGGTGAAGATTTTAATTATCAGCAGGCTGAAATGTGGTTCACTAACTTAGATAGATTGATCAGGTAAAGTATACTCAATAATATTTGAAAGTTAAAATATCCATGTGGCACAGATTGCATATGATACAAGATCCCTCAAATTCATTTTTCTCTGTGCAAATATATTTTTAAAACTATTGTACTTTCTAAACAGTATATCACGAAATATCAAAACTATATTGGTAATACCGTTCAGGTAACACTGTTCAACACGAATTTTAACCTGTAATATCTATTAGGTAACTGTTGTAGGGCTTAGCTTCTTGAATACGAAAATGCAAACGAAAAACGACTTTTCTTCAATAAAGTCTACAGAACACGTTACCGAGTAGTAAATTCGTGTCAGATAAAGAACTTATTATAAAAATGCAAGAATAGTGCGTAGGAAGAACGTTAAAACGACTTATTTTTAAACTTTGATGATAATTTGATAATAAATTGCAATTATTCGAAAGCACAAATAATTATAATTATGGATATCGATAAAGTTGGAAAACTATCACTTAACTTTTAAAATAGGAACCTCCTAACCTGTTTAGTTGTCATGTAATCCTTCATTTTAGTAAAAAATCGCGCATTTTTTGGAACTTATATTTAAAAAAAAATGGAGATGATAGAGTAACTTTGTTTTCGGATTGATATTTAGAAAAATAAACTCTACATAGTCGCCTAATGAATATTACAGATTAAAATTCGTGTTGAACAGTGTAATGAGTCTGAAGGAAGCAAATCTTGAATCAGAAGAATGTCGTGCAGTACCAACAGTTCTAATTTTTGTTGTTTGGTGAAAATATAAGTAGGATTTAAATTTCGAAAAAATTGTTTGTCGTAAAAATAGCATATTTAACGAAAGGAGAAAAAAATATTGTTATGAAATTAATAAGAAAAATTGGTAAAATATGGGAAATTAAAATTTCAACCAGTACATACAAAAACAGGTTTTTAATAAATCTTAATAAAAGATCTTAACAAAATTTATTAATAATAAATCTTAATAAAAGATCTTAACAAAATTTATTAATAATAAATCCTAATAAGAAGACGCTTATAAAATTTATTAATAATAAACCTTGATAAATTTTAAATAAAAAGACGTTGAAATTTTAGACTAATACTTAAATTTTAGTTTTATGTCCAAATGAAATATTGATATTTTCAATAAGTAGCGATTTTCAGAGAGAAATTTTAATTCTGTTTTCATGTTCTACTTTGTCCAATTTTTATTCTTTCATTCCGAAATTTGGATCATCTTCCTATGAGAAAAGCCCAAAAGAAAACTAAGTAACTATTCTCTAATTTATTTTAAATTACCGATAGATTGTGCTCACGAATAGATAAAAATCTGATCAACACTAGTATATATGATATTAGATCGGAACTGTGCTACAGGATGATCAGTATTGCACGAAAACCACATGAAAGCATCTTAGACCATGATGTATAAATATACAAGAAAAATTGCAAAATCAGAAATTTATTATTATTATTCTTAGCAAATTAGAGACACTTATAGGAAAACATAAACTCTGAAAAATAACTTCCAGTGCTTGAAAAATCGAGGAACGAAGGACAAAGAATGACTCTCTTCCGTCAAATTTTTAAAATAACTGTTATTTCTTGCTTCTCTACTTACAACCTTTTGCGAACTTTTAAATAACTTTAAATCGTTAGTATTATAGTATGTAAAATACTTGAAGTATTTATAAAAGCCAGCGTGTAACGTGTAGTATTTCATATATTCGATAGATACGTAACGGAGAAATACAGCAGCCATGTAAACATATTTTATTCGACGCCATCTTGTTACCTGAAAGCAGTGCACCTCACGAACTCTCAATGGCCGACGAAAGATGATGATTTCTTCCCCTATGCCAGCGATGAACACTCGTATTGGACTGGCTACTTCTCCTCTAGACCAACGATCAAATTCTTCGAAAGAATGGGAAACAACCTTCTGCAGGTAAACATTCTGTATTATTATATTAACTCTAGAACTATCAAAGGGGTCAAGACAAATTTTGTAAATAAATATTGTAAAAATGCAAAAATACACGTAGAAAGTACACTCCAAGGCTCACTTTTAAACTTCGATGACCAATTATAATTATTCAGAAGCACAAATAATTATAATTATGGACATTGATAGACTAAGAATACGCTCACCTAACTTATAAGATAAGAATAAACCTCCAAACGTTCTTACTTTTTACGTAATACTTCATGTTAGCCAAAAAATCGTGCGTTTTTAGAAAAATATGTACAATTTTCAAAAACTAAGATTACGGATTTGTATTCAGGAAAGTAAGCACAAAAAGAATCACCTAATGGACATTACAGATTAGAGAAAAAGTTAAAATTTGTTGGACGATATAATAAAGAAAAGAAAACAAGTTAAGCTTGAAATCATCTTGAAAATGACCACGAATAAAAAAATTAATTGTGCTATTTGAATTCCTGCCAAAAATACTAAATGACACGTGACACGTATTTTCTTTAAGTCAATTGTCTACGAAATTTTTGTTTCTGTCAATTTACATGGAACACCCTGTGTGTAAAACAAATATCTGATCAATCTTTTTAAAAGGAAGTTTACTGTAAAATTTACTGTAGGACACAAATCGCAAATATTTCATTTTTTCGCACGTGTATAATATTGTGTTGTTTTCTATATAATTCTAGATCTCCAAGCAGTTGTCCGTATTGACACATTTGCAAGATAATGAGAAAGAATTGGAACAATTTCGGGAAGCAATGGGTGTATTGCAACATCATGATGCTGTCACTGGAACTGAGAAACAATTGGTTGCGGAAGATTATGCGCGTTTATTGAGTAGTGGGATGCAACAAGGAATGCTTACTTCTTTCAATGCACTAAGGTATTACACTTTTTTCAGCTACTGATTCATCGAGGTAATTTTTGATTCTACATGACAATAGCTATGGATCAAGTAGGTATATCAATATATTGCCAGATAAATATAATACAGATAATACAGATGTATAATAACTATAATAAAAATAATATATATATTTATATTTATATACGTATGAAAATTTATATTTATTTATACAGGGTGTCGCAGCAACGGTAGTACAACCGAGAAAGGTGTGATTCTACGTGAAAAAAGAAATCTAAAATAAAGAATAAAATTTTTTCATTCGAAGCTTCGTGATCGAAAAAATCGACTTTGAATGTCCACTAAATACGCTGGAAACTGATGGTCCATGCATGTAAACTATAGCTAAGTGCTCACGTACTCAGTAGATATTCAAAGTCGATTTTCTCGATAACGAAACTTCGAATGAAAAAATTTTATTTATTATTTTCGATTTGTTTTTTTTTTTATGTAGAATCATTCTCCTCCCGGTTATACTACCATTGCTGAGACACCCTGTATATTATTTATACGCATTTATATTTATTTTTATATATCTACTAGTAATTATATTGTTGTATTGTATTATATAATTTATATACTATGTTAATTAAATATAAAATTATCATTATTTGTTTTACAGTAAATGGAGATCAAGTGGAAACCCAGATCTCACAAAAGAAAATATATATTCTTGTACTCAATTGAATATCAGTGATTGCTTGTACACAGAAAGACAAAATTTCGTACTAGCAATTTATAATCCTTTGAGTCAGAACGTCGTATCACCCATTCGTGTTCCTGTCCAAGAAGGCAGATACAAGGTTATGGATCTTACAAGTACGTTTTTTACAATAATTTTCTGAATTTACATAATTTTATAAAAGGATCAAAAGATCTTTTCTTAGAATCTCTTTGCACAGAAGTATTATGTTTTATGTTGTAATGAACAAAAGTATTTAATAAAATTCAAATATTGTTTCAATTTAACATGTTAAATCGACTATAATATTTCATATCTTAAATTAATTAAAGTAAAGCTAATAACTATGTCAAATCCAAAATGAAATATTAATCCTGACTAATCTTCTTTCAAGGTGAACACGAAGTGATTTCACAAATGGTACCCATTCCCAAATCAGTACAGGAAGTACCTGGAAGGAAGACTAACGCAACACACGAACTTGTATTCCTCACATCGTTGCCACCATTGGGTTATAAATCATACACTGTTACAAAAATTGCACAAGAACCTAGTCCGGAAGTCGAGGCAATAGTTTCCATTGGAAACGAGGTACTGCATTATGAAAAATACCAATAACTGATCAATATTACTGTACAATTCCGAAGATTGATAAATCCTAGAATTTACTAAAGTGTGGTTGTAAAAGTCCAAACAAAGTTTGTTAACGATCCCACTTTGGACTTTTACCAAGCAATTTAGATAAATGTTAGAATTTCCAAATTTTCCAAATTACCAGTAGATCAAAAATACTGGAAGTATTTATAACATGGTAAAAAACAATTTTACAACGATTGTTACATCGCTAACAACGGTACAACTATTTCTAGTAGAAATGCTAACTACTATATTCTACATTTTTATTTGATAGTTTAAGAAAAAAGAGAACAGTGCCTCTAATTAAATTGCTAGTATAGTTAGGTATAATATAATTAAGTTTGCAAGTTTTAAAAATTTTTCCGGCACGTTAATATGGCGTGATACGCTGGATGAAAATCACTATTCTGATACAATAGACAGCTTTTCTATCACAGATTTGCTTTACTAATGTAATCAATGAAATACGTTGTGTTGGAAATTATTTAATTTACCTTAATAACAATTTTTGAAATATTGAAAATGTTAATCCTTTTCAGTTTTATGATGTGTCAGTCAACGAGTATGGCCACGTTGTTGTACAATGGAAGAAAGAAAAAAATATGAGCACGACTCAATCTTTCCATTATTATGAAGGAATGGAGGGAAATAACGAGATATCTCTAAACAGATCATCGGGAGCGTACATATTCAGACCCAGAAACGTACCTATCAGAAACTTCGTGAAGCCTGGTTCTTACAAAATATACAAAGGTAATAATTAAAGTATTTGAATGTAATAATGTGTAAGTATATAACTGTTATAATGTACAGAATGAGTCACGAAGAATAGGACCTCTAAATATTTATTATTTATTATAACATTTTTAGTCCAAGATCGCTTCAAGGTCAAAGTAGATCGATAAATTCGAATTAACTATATACTATAATAAAAAAAATACATGACTCGATACAAAAGGAACTATCAGTGACCTTGAAATCGTGTTTTAAAAAAAAAAAAAAAAAAAAAAAAAAAAAAACGTGCGCGCGCATATTTAATTAACAAGTTAATTCGTTTTTCTAATAGGTCCATTAGTGCAAGAAATTCACCAATATGTTACTGATTGGATATCCCAGGTGATAAGAGTTTACAATGGAATGCAATATATTGAATTCAATTGGCTCGTTGGACCAATACCTGTTGAGTAAGTGTATTAAATATAATTTTTTATTATTACAAATATCTTGTCTGCTAAACTTAGATCTTATCTCGTTTTTACTTTTGTAAATAATGAAACTTTTAAAATACTTTTAAAATAAATTCGTGAAGATTCGAGTAAAATTCCAATTATTAAAAGTTGAAGGTAGATTGCACAGAAAAAGGGAAAGATTAAAGGAAAAGAAAAAATATCGAATTAGAAAATATATTATGAAAATATTTCAAATATTATATATATAATTTTTAGATTATTATTTATAATATAATTTTGATAATATTTCTAATATTTTTACATAATTAAAAATATTTGTACTTTAATTTAAATATTTATCTATAAATATAAGATATTTATATATAATTTTTCATATAACAGTATTATTTTTAACAGAAAATATTTGCCTACTTAATATTTATACCCTAATTATGCGATCTGTAATTCTCAGACACTATCGTATAATGAAAGTATAATATAATGTAATTAAAATATAATCAGAATATAATTGATTAGCAACATGTATTATATTCTATGACATAATTTATTGAACGAACATTAATATAATTATCATTTAACAAAATACACATATAATACACATAGGCGTAGATTAGCGGTTCTCAACCTTTGGTACGCGTACGTATCGAACATTTGCAGATGGTACGGAAACTGAACTAAATTACATAAAATTTTTTAATTATCTACACTGGAGTATATTAAAATGATAGATACTACTTAAATTACCTACCGGTACATGACTTAATCACATATTGGTCAGTAATATATAAGGAAAAGGTTGAGAACCGCTGGCATTGATTAAAATTTCGGAAATAAATTATAATAATGAAATGTAATTTTAGGGATAAGATTGGCAAAGAAATAGTAACGAGATATTCTAGCAATTTGAATTCCTCTGGAGAATTTTATACCGACAGTAACGGACGTGAAATGTTAAAACGAAAGAGAAATTATCGCCAAACATGGAATTTAAAAATACACGAAGAAATATCCAGCAATTATTATCCTGTTACATCTAAAATTTCCTTAAAGGATGAACAGAAATTCCTTAAACTTAGTGTACTTACTGATCGAACAGAAGGTGGAACTAGCATGCACGATGGAGAGATAGAAATGATGGTAATTTATTACTTTCCGTATTAGAAGGATATTAAGAAAAAGTAGTGTACCGAGCTATTTATATTTGCCACCAGAGGGATGCTCTGCACGCAACACTTTCCCTAAAAATCCGTTTTAACTACTTCTCTAATATAAATACTATTTAAAAACTAAAATCCACAAAGCTTATTACATTTTAGTGTTACTAATATCAAATTTTATAAGTTTATAGACAAACTTACATCTTCACTCACTTTTCAGTGTTTTCCACTTTATTACTATTTTTATTCATCTTATGCTATAGTATCCATTAAAAGAGATAATTGATATTAGAAATTTGAGGTTTGATGTCATTGACACTTACTTATGTTACAAAAATTCATAATTTTCCTACATAATTGTTTATAAATATTATAAAAATAGAATGATACTACTTAAATAATAAATATTTATATTATATTAATTAAATAATAAATATATGTTATAGGTTCATAGAAGACTTTTGAAAGACGATGCATTTGGTGTAGGCGAAGCTCTCAACGAATCTGCATATGGCGAAGGCTTAGTGGTCAGGGGTTCGCATTATATCATTGGGGGCAGTATTAAAAATTTGGATGAACTTGCGTTAAAAGAGAAATCTTTGGCTCTTCAACTACTGCTTCGTCCATGGCTCTTCATCATACCTGCTCAATCGAATTCACGGACACATATGCAGTATGCATCTGAAGCGCACGTAAGTGTCTTTATATAATCTAATAATAGCTGATAAGTACAAAAGCTGCATTTATACAGAATAGAACAAAAATCATATGACTGGGGCCAAACATCCTGTCGAATTGTATAATATTGTATAGAAAATTTTTATGAAAATTGCATTTATAAATTAAATCATTACATATAGTTAAAAATAAGTACGGATAATGTTTATATCTATATTTGATTCCTATATTTAATTTATCTTGCAATGACTTCGAAAAATTTTATAAAGGTTAAATTTTAATTTTTTAATTAAAATTCATATTTTTTATTATAGAATCTTGTGACCTATAGAATATTGAAATGTTTTTGACCTTCAGATTAGAACAAAGTTATTAAATTTTAATTTTTTGTTTTTAGCATTCAGGCCTTACTAAATTGTTACCATCAAATATTCACATTTTAACTCTGGAACCATGGAAGAATGGCACTGTACTATTAAGGTTAGAACACATTTTCGAAGTAGGTGAAAGTGAAACATTATCGAAGCCTGTGGAAATTAATATTCAGGTACGTCTTTTAAATTATATTAAACAAAATATTCAGTGATATGTAGAAAAATTTGACGCCAAAATATATATACAGACATATTTAAATAACTGAAAATTTACTTTTAATTTTTATTTAGATTTAATATCTTTTTTCCCATTCAATATTTTTTCATATCTTTAGTAATGTTGTGATTATTTATTGAACATATAATATTTTTAATGGATTAAGTTCTCAATATTAGGAAGAATAATTAATAATATTAAATTGATAATATTACTATATTATCAGTTGCCCCCCTCTGCTTTTCTCTAGCTTTGCTAGGAACTAAAATTAAATCTTACATTTCAAGATATACATTGCATAACAAGTAGTAACATACAATATGTCAGTAACAATTAGAAAGAATAAATGATATAAATTTATGTTGCAAGTGTATTAATAGTATTAATTTAACTCATAATATTATTGGTATTACTAATTTACTTTATTTATTGATGTTGTGTTACAACAGGATCTATTTACAACTTTCACGATCGTATCCATCAAGGAGACTACCTTAGGTGGCAATCAATGGTACAATGACTTGAATCGTCTGAAATGGAGGTCTGAAACAAACGAAGTCCTTGAAAAGGAAGAAAACATCTCTCAGCCTGTAGAAATTAATAGCAGTGCTATAAATGTCCTTTTGACCCCTATGGAAATACGAACATTTATCCTTACAGTAACACCGAAAAAACTCTAAATTGATTATTGCTCAAATATGTTTACATTTATTTTACTTGATGTAAACATAATGATAATGAAATGATTATAATTATACTGAGAGAAAAATATAATTACACTTCTTCCAATTTATATTATATTTTTCTTCATTGCTCTTGTTTCACTTCCTATTACATTTCAATTTCTTATATTCAATTAATTTAGAAATCATTAAATCTGTCTATCAGGAATAGAAACTATCATATCATAAGCATAATATAAATGTGTAACCAAAGGAACTCTAAGCCATGCAACTTACCGATCGGGAATAGTTTCAATCTATCAAAAAAGGATCGTTGAAATGTCAATTCCTTATCCTCACTTCACTGCAGTTATGACCGTAATGATTATAACTTTTCTTCTTCCAACTTTTTAATGAAACTCGCAAAATCACGAATATTAAATTAATAAAAAAAAAATGATAATATTTTATTATAAAAATATTAATATTTAGGGTTCAAACGGATATTAACAAATTAAGAGAAAATTAAATAAAGAAATAAATCTTTCTGACTGATCTTTAAGATTATTTTTTGAATACCTGCAGAAGTTAATATAAGTATTAATAATAAAAAGTACAAAAATTAAGTACTAAAAAATAGAGAAATATCAAGCACTGCATAACATTTTAATATGCGAAATCTATCTTAGCTTCAGAAGATAACGTAGTTACCATAGAATGGTTACTCTCCATAGCATCAATTCTCAATAGATGTCAACATATAATATTTGAACTTATGTTTTACTGTTCACTTACTACACTGCTAAACTAATTATTCTGTATTTTTTTCCCGTATTTTCCAATTCTTAATAATTTGGTCATCGATTTTGTACTAAAAACTATTTTAGTTCATTTAATTAAACTGCACAAACAGCTGCAATAAATCAACACATTTTTATTCATCATGTTCTTAATAAAATTCATCTTAAGCATAAAAATGTTATTGCAAATTTTTGTTTATTTTTTCACACAGAATCATTTTCTCAAGTATTGTACGAATTATATCTCACCATGTAAATATTTTATACATATATGTATACTACATCAAATTGAATATCATTCTTTTTGACATATCATAAGACCTATAACCTTTTAATATGTAACATTTTGATAACAAAATTTTCTAATAACTCGTTAAATTTTTTTAATTTTTTTGGAGGTAATATGAGATGACATTTCAGAATAATGATTATATTTCTTCATTGACAATAATTTACATTGAAAAGGAAATTACGCATTATACTCTGTATTTAACTTCTTATCAAGGCAAGTGTTAAATACATTAATAAAATTGTAAACTTCTTATAAAGAATTCTTATAAAAAATATATTGTTATAAGAATTTTTAGTATTCTTGGAAAAAATATTAATTATTTTTCAAATATATTTAAAATAAATAACTCAGTGTCTTCATAATATGTATTCCATTTTTTATATTTCATATCTTTATTCATTAGATGACTTCAGAAGATGATACTTGGTCTCAAAGTTTGGTTACCATAACTCCAGAAGATGATGCAATGTTAAGAGAAATTTCGGATACTGCAACCGTGTCGGCATCACCGGACGTAAACTTAGTTCTCGATCCTGACGATATTGTGTATAGACGATCGTTGACAAATAGACAGTTTGTAGATTCTACAGAAGCAGATGAGGAGAGACCGGAACATTCAAGTGATGAAACAGATCAGAAACCCAAAGAAGATGCAAACACTCAGACGTATTTACAAGGAATACCAACGGTACATATTTCTGTCGAATATCGGGACGAAGCCTCGCAAACGATGTACATGAGCACACCATGCCCGCCTTTAAAGTATTTTAAGGATATCATGAGTATGTACTACTATTTTTTACTATAATTATTCAAGACACATTTTTCTCATCATTTTTAACGTTCTGAGATTATTATGAAAATAATAAGATCTATGTAAAGTAAATGAAAAGTGTTTTGTTAAATGAAAGATATTTTGATATTTGTCATGATCTTTTTGGACTTTTTAACCCTCTGTCGGTAACTAGGGCCATTAAATAAACCAAATTGAAACATCGCTATGCATAACAAGAATCCCTCAGGATTTCAGTCCAGCTTATTTATTGTGCTTACAAGTTATGCAGGATCTCAATCCAAAACATATATTTGTACGATCTATGTTACCGACAAAGGGTTAATAGTAGAACTGCTAACCAGTAAAATGTTGCTAAATATACTATACACAAATGATAATAACTAAAGTGATATCATATAATCAATAAAAATTAACATTAATTTTATTAAGAACAATTAAATACTTTCAGTAATTGCAGAAATAAAATACATTAAATTAGTTGTTTGGCTAATTTAATAGTTCTAACGTTCAATACAGCACTTTTTTTCCTTTGTTAAATCTCTAGAAATGATGAAACTTTTTAATTTTTTTTTAAATCAGGCATTATTATTCGACAATGCTAATTATTATGATAACTTTTTTTGAAATTCATTTTGTAATGTACATCTCTAGAAATGATAACACTTTTTTAATTTTTTTTGTTTAATTGGACACTGTTAGTCAATGTTAATTTTTTTGGAATTCATTTTGTAATACGGTTGTAGAAAGAAGTTTGATGCACGATTTTTATTATAAGTGCCTTGAGCGCCATTTTTAACATACGAACAGAAAATTTTACCATTTAATTTAAAAGAGTAAAAATAATTTACAGGCTTATTAAATACATATTTCTGCACATAAATGTAATTTTATATAATACAATATTTGTAATAATATTTATCTCATGTACAGTAGCAGATTTAGTTTTCAAAAGAGCCCGAATGGAGAGCAAATTTCTAATCCTCTATTAAAATAAGTCAAATATACACGACTATCCATCATGCATAGCTCTATAACTTTGACTTTATTGATGACTCCTTAGTAATATTTCTTCATATTATAGGTTAACTTTTATGACGAGCGAAATATATATTTTCTACTTAAATAGACAAACTGCGGGTGGCATATCAAATTATGTATAAAACATTCTGAAAATGTATAAAAAATTAATTTTTTCTTCTATTTGATAAAGTAGGGTACGCATTAGAATGATAAATAAAAGCTTAATATTTCAATGCTAATTTTCATCTCTTAAAAATTTCATGAGATCATTAACATGTCCTACCAGTTTAAGATTAAAAATATTATTCTGATCATAAAAGGATAAAATAAAATGGTTAACGTTTCCTAATTTTAATTATTAATACATATTTCACATGTGCAGCATCTATGAAGGAAAGCCCCATACCCGAATTGAAGAGGAGCAATGTAGCTATGACTGTCATCAGTATAGATCCTAAAACACCACAGGACATCGCAGTAGATCAACTGTCCAAAGACTTCACGGAACAGGAATTAGAGGATTTTGAATCGAAACTCAGCTCGAAAGAAGAAATAGAAACGGAAATCGCTGAAATTTTACGTTTCGTAATAGCACGTGCATTTTGGATAGATGATCCGACAAGTCAAACGCCAGCTGAAACAGCCGATGAAGCGACACAAACTTATATCAGATTTAATAATCGTATGAATATCTTCGTCATAAATAATGAAGTTCAAACTGATTTGAGTTGCGAACCAAAACAATCCAACACAATGCTCCTAACGGATTATTGGGAAACAAAGAATATGGTTTTAAGTTGTTTAGAAGATAGTATTACGAAAGGAATCGAAGTTAGGGTCGTGGCAGATGATATAATAAATGAAATTATTGATAAGAGTGCCGAAAGGATAAAATATCCCATGAAGGAACAGATTATACAAACCATAGCTAGCTATAAATTAGATGGAGAGAAAGAGGAGGATGTGTTAAGGAAACTAAGACTCGATGTAATCGTAGACCCTTTAGAAGCATCGATTATTGTCGTACCTTTGATGAGTGATTTATTGCAACTGGCTTGTGATGATGTATCCAAAAATGCCATTAAAGTTACTACAGTTGTATTAAATGGAATACTTCAAAGGACAATGACCATAATTATGAAACTTATAGAACTGGAGAAACAAGCAAAACGTTAGAATTAATAAATTTGATAACTTAAGTTCCTCTTACTATTTTGCAATGAAAAATCTTGAAAATTTTAAATATAGATTGAAATGTATTTTATCTAGATTATATAAAAGATTGAAAGTTTCATTAAATTGTAAAATGCTCAAAGTATAAGATTGAACTAATTATAAATATATAATTCACATAATATTAACAATATTTTTGTACTATTCTTTAGGTAAATCAATAGATCAAATATTGGCCAAAAGAAAGAAAAAAATCCTTGAATCACTGTCAAAGAGAGAAACAGAAACGATTTCTACACAGACAAGTATAGCTGGGATTTCTGAAGTCAAGAAGATTAAAAAATCCAGGGAAGTTCTCTGTTCAGTCTGTAGAAGACAATCAATGTGTCAATGGTGTTTGACTGACCACGAAACTGAAAGTATCCCAAGAGAGGAAACTAAAATACTTCGTACACAAGATATATTATTAGCGTATAAACCCTGTTACATCGTAACTAAAATGTCCAAAAAAGAAGAAAATCTTCAACCACCTTGTCCTCCGGTAGTAACCGTTAAAGCATCCCCAAAACTCCAAGTTTGTTCCTCGGTAGATTCAAGTAAAATATCTCGTACAGTTTGTATATATTTTCAGTCTGATAAAGAGATTGTACCTCGAGGTAAATATTTCTAATTAAAAATATTATGTATAAAATACATTTATATTCACATACTTATCATTTTTTAGAATCCTTTAATGAATGGTCTTATGTAACTGATGCTACAATAATGAAATCATGTTCAACTAAAGGTAAAATTTTTATAGTTTTATTTAGCTTATTATCATATAATTTATTTATGTCATTTTTGAATACTAAATATTTTATAAAAAATACTTATTATTTTGTATTTTTAATTGAGAAATATTAAATGTGTAATAATCAATTTTTTATTTTTTCAAGTTTTATTTTCTAAATATTATATAATTACTACCTTCTAATATTAATTATTTCTCACTGCCAAATGAGAAGCTTCCAGTATTAAGTGAATAAATGATTGAGTTTTTTAAAAATAAAATCTTGTTTTTATTTTGACTTGAAAGATTAGTATTAAATGGCGAATTATGTTTAAACTTATATAATATTTAACAACATTTATTATATTATTTCGATAAATTATTTATACTTTACAGAATCAATGAGTAGTTCAAGCCAAACAATTATAACTTCATTAGATCAACCAATTTGTCCAACTTCTGCTAGCTATCATAGTACATTAACTCCACAAGCAGCAAATGCCTTACAAATATTAAAAAATACATTTTGTAATCGAGAAATTTGTATTACTTCTTCAATGCCGACTTCAAAAAATTATTCTTTTACTAATAGTGAAGAAGCGTGTACTAAATCAACTTGCAATACATGTCTGAGTATAAATAACATAAATAATAAAATTAATGGGCAGAAAATCTATTGCACACAACAAATATGTAAAAGTTTTTCCAAGTTACATTTGCCTAATACAAATACTTGCAGCAACAAAACTTCTTCTCATACATCTATCAAATCACATGGAGATGGTTTTAAAATTATTCCCATATCTCTCTCTAAAGACACTTGTATCTAAGAATTACAACAATTAACATTAAAAATTAATATTTAATTATAATTAAATGTATTTACATTGCAAGCATTACTATATATTATTAAATGTTTATTTGACAGAAATAAATGCATATACATTATATTTTATATATTCATGAACCAAGCTATATACATCACAATGTAAGCGTAATATAGTACACTCAATAACTACATTATACCATATCATAAGCCTAATGTAAAAGTAATTATATAAATTATGTATAGTTATGTTTCATATATGATTTTTAAATTACACTGAAACACGTATAAAAAATATTTATGGTATTTTTCTCACATTGCATTTTATAAAGTATATATAAATAAAATATTATAAGAATATATTATTACTCTTGTTATATCTTTCTGGATAAGTCGACATACATAAATACTTCTTTATATTAGTATTAGTATTAGAAATTTCCATTTGTGGTCAATTATTTATCGTTTTATTTACAATTACATATTTTATATTTGTAGTTTTATAAGCAATATTCATAACAAACATGACACAAAAAATCATAAATTTATATTAATAAAATTTGTCTATTATGGCAACATATCTAAAATGAATGTATTGTTAATTATACTACTATGACTTACATCAAAATTTATTAAGTATACGTTATATAATTTAGCATGAAATGAAGAAATATTATATAGAGTTTTTAACAATTTTGAAATGTCCTATTAACAGATTCAATATTTGTAAATATTTCTGTATTTAAAATAATGTTATTCATGAAGTGATTAAAGTATGAAATTATTTCTATTTCATCAATTTATAAATAATGAAACAGAAATATAATATTAAACATTATCATGTTTATCAAAATACGGAATACAGTTATGCAACAATCATATAGTAATTATGGTATTGACTTGTATATTATTACTATACTTATAGAAGTATTAAAAATATTACAAATGAGATCTGATCATAAAAGCATATTTCAAATATAACATTACATCACTAGTACAAGTAATTTCTAATAAATATTAACAAATTAGATGATTCTTATTATTTTCAAGCAATAATTTTATTTCAATTTCACATCAATTGAAATAAGAATTCTATGGAAGTACAATATAAAATTAAAATGTTTTGAAATTACCTTTTAGTATATTGTACAAAAAATTGTAATATAAATAGTAATATTAAGTACATGATATTATATAAACTTTTGGCATCTGTATATGTAAATCAGATTTAAACTGAACAGCGTGTTAAAATTTGTTTTCACCACACATGACACAGGCATTTGTCTAATACAAATATACACGCCCCTAATGTGATGTAAAATCATCGCATAAGTAAAACAAGAATTTTAAAAAATGTTGAGAATAAGATAAAAATAAACTGATTAAAAGGAAGATCCAAAAATTGGCATATAAATATATATCCACCGTAAAAAATATAAGAAACAATATTGATGACTAATGAGTGTAAATAAATTGATTTCCGTGTTTCTAAAAAATTGTAATATTTATACTATTTATGAAATGATTTGATATATTAACACAATTCGTGTTATAATATTAAATAAATTAATAAAAGAGAATTTAACATTAATTTAAAATAAGATGTAATTTTTTAATTATAATGATGCTTTAGTTTCATCATCTTCTTCTTCTGGTGGTGGTTCTTTTGTAGTCACTGCAGTCATTTGTGTTTCTTCTTCAGAAAGACTTGCTATTTTATGCTGACTTAAATCATTCCATGGTTGAATTTCTTAACAACCAAAAGAGTATTGTTGCAGATGTAAATACTGCTGTTGAAATCCAGAACATAGTACGCCATTCTTCTACTCCATTCTGTAGAAAAAGGATAGTAAAGAAAATATGATATTTATATTAAATTAAAAAAAAATTGCAATTTTAAATGAATCCTAATATTTAATTTTATCCATACCCTTTCATTTGTTAAAGCACCAATAATTGGCGGAATAATAAATCCAGGAAAACTACCAAAAGTATTCATAATGCCATATAAAGAACCAGCAAAATTAGGTGCAAGATCTTGATGGTTTTGTAAACTGGTTTGACATGCAGCTCCATTGAAAGTTAATGCTACTATTAACATAACAATTGCAGTTACTGCATCACACCCAGCATAAGTCATTATAATCAAAGCTATTGCTGGACCGATATGTGCTATTGAAACAAGAAATGATTTTTTATTTGTTATGATTAAATAAAATGTGTTAACTTAATTTGTATTATAATCTACTTACAGAAAATCATAAATATTTTTCTAATCCATCCTAAAGTAAGAAAATTCTTCCTTCGAACATAATCACCAGCTGCAGCAAACAATACTCCAGCACCAAGCCTCGCTATGTAGGGTAATCCTGTAATTGATCCTCCCTAGATATAAATTGATAAATTTAAATTTAATTAACATAAAACCAATTTAAACAATATATGCATATTAATAAGACAGTACCGATTTCATATTAAAACCAAGAACTTCTAAAGTGTATTTTGGTCCGTTAGTAGCGATGAAATATATACCCCACATGTTTGCAAAATGAGCCCATAATAAAACTAAAAATGGTACTGAGGTAATAACATCTTTCACTGGTAATTTTATCTATAATTTTATTTTAATATATAATGTTATTAGTATTATATAAAAGAAATATTTCAGCATAATTTAATTTAAGGTTTTAAAGATTATACTTACTTTCTGTTTCGAGACGCTTGTACCTATTTGTTCCTTGATATAACTTCTTTCATTTTCTGTGATTCCTGGATGAAGATCAGGCGTATCATATATAAGAAGAACCCATAAAGCATAAAAAATCAGTATAAGTCCACTTGTAACATAATATGCTGCTTTCCAACCCAATTCACTGATTATCTGGCCACATAAAGCGAATGTTACTACAGTTCCAAAAGGCCCACCTAAGAGACATCATTTTATTTTATGTTTAATTTATTAATTTTGTACTTAGTGTTTATTTACCTTGCATAGTCCATACAAATATCCCCTTTTCACTAGGAGGAACCCATCTAGCAATCATTGCATGAAGGGCAGGATAAACAGCTCCCTGTAAATTTGATTTAATAATAAAAATATTTATTTATTATACTATAAAATTTATATAAATTGTAATTAATCAAATTATATAGTGTATATTTAAAATTTTATATACATTTTTATAAAACTATTTTATTTGGTGCAAAGTTTAATGAAAAAGAAAAAAACAATAATTTATAAAAAATAAATAATGTAGCAAATGACTTACTCCAAAGAAGCCCATCATAAAACGAAGTACAAACACTAAACTATAATGAACACCAGAAGCCCAAGGCATCATAAAGTTTAATACTGCAGGTATTAGTGTTGCAAATCTATATTAGAATGTTACACAAAAGATAGATAAAATATGTGTAAAGGAAAGACATATAAAATATAATGCAAAATAATGAAATACATATCATAAATGTATAATTGAAAATTAAACTTACGCTACTACTCTAGAACCTCCATATTTCTCAGCTAAGAGACCACCAGGTACACTTGATGGAAGAACTCCATAAAAATAGCCAGAAAGCAAAAGACCTTGTATATGTTGATTCCATTCATATCGTGTACCATACTACAGGGTGAAAATGTTATACTGATGTAAACAATGATAAATAAGAAACATTATAATACTTTTGTATAAAATATTAAATTATTATGTTTAATACTGCACAATGTACTTGTATTTAGAATATATAATATATTTTGTTTAAATTAAAATAATTGAGGAGTATATATATATTGCAGAAATTACATATACTGTCATTTATATGGTAATATATGATAACATAGTAACATACAGTGGTAAATAATTTTCAATCAAACAGAATAATATGAAATATCCAAAATACTGTTATGTGAGCAATTTTAATTAATTAATATACATAGTAATGATATGAGATAATAAATAATTACATAAAATTTGTTTGGAAAAGAATCAGGGAAATATTTTATCACAATGGTTTAAATTTCAATTAAAGATATTTACGAATTATTTAATATATTTAATATTACGATATTTATGACAAACTCAATAGAATACGAAAAAAATTAATTAACAAAAAGCTACAAAACAGAAACAATAAAATTAATGAAAAAAATTCTATAAACAAATTACGAAAATTGCATACATTACTAATACAATGTATCAAAACAGTTATACATGGGCATAAAGATGTAACTTCATATTTTAATTATATCCTAATATAATATTTATTAGCTAATATAAATTTTAAGTAAAACATCTTTTATTTTTTTTGTAAACATGTATTGTCAAATATATGTTCCTTCATGTAACAATTTAATTTTTCATTATTTTCTTTTTATTAATACCAAGAAATTATTTTTCATTTGTTTTGTTCATACCATACAAATTTCTCATTTTCACATGCTTTATATTTATATAATGGCATCTTGCAATTAAAAAACCTTAATATTTTTAATTAGTTTCGTATCATTATATTTGATTGACAACCTTTTACTAGCAATATTCACATAATATGCTCACTTTAAATATTTCCTAAATTATAGGATGTAACAAGACTATTATGTACGAAATCGCATAATTTCAAGGAAAGTGTTATGCAACAAAATTATTTTTCCTATTTAAAAATTCATTTTGATCTTACGAATAAAATATCATACCTTTGATACCAAAATTTGAAATAATTTTGGTATAAATATACAATGGAACCTTTAGTAACGGAAGAATTAATATTCAAATATTTTAATATTCGAATGTTCCATTCTGAACGGTTTATTATCAAAACTTTCCTATCTACATGTTTTATTATGGAAACAAACAGAAATACTTCATAAATTCTTGCTACAATGTAATATCTTTTCTATTATTGTAACACGAAATTGATACTGAAATGTGATATCGAAACAAATAGAGATATAGTTCATAAATTGTTCCTACAATTTAATATCTATTCTATCATCGTGATATGAAATTGATATTGTAAGATGTATCGAAGGATTGAAATAATGAAACTGAAGTAAAGTAATATGAGAGGTTATGAAGATGTGCTTGAAGCATTTACGATATTAGAAGAAGGATTTCAATAGTTAGAAAAACGAGACAGATTAAAAAATATAGTATTAAAAAATTTATATAATTTAATAGAAAAAAATGTGGAATTTATAAATATTGAAAGATAAATTTATATTATTATTTAATATATCTTACTTTTTGCAGTTATTATATTTATATTATACTATTAATATTTATTATTAATATAATAAATATAATAAAATTGTAAAAAGTTATTAGAAATATAATAAATATTATAACGTATAATAATATATAATAAATATTTATTATTTAATAATGGAAAAATAGGAATGTTCTATTTTTTGAAAATTCCCTTATCTGAACAGTTATGTCCCTCTATTAATTACTATATTAAACATTTCACTGTTTTATCATTTACTGGTTCGAAAAATAATTTACAATATAAAATTTTCGAAACCAGACCTCTAACCAGAAAATTCTATCCTTCTCCTTAATTTCCTTTTCGTACATGCATTTTGCAACCATATACGAGCTGTTCTCAAGTCAAAGTGATTAACTCCACTTTTCCAATGTTTTTCTTTAAACTTCATTTCGAAACCACTTTATTGGTGTTTAAAATTTTATGTATAAAATAAATGTCTACTTTTATTTTCTGGACTTAATCGATTTGGCAGATGAGAAATTTATATGTAGAGATGATATGACGTGAGTGGTAGTAATTATGACAGAAAGTGCTTGTAATTATCTCGTGAAAAGAGAACATAAGTTTAACATAACTTTTGGGTGCACGTGACTGAGCACCATTTAGCAATGGCTGCACAGAGTGAAAGAAATACAGGAATAGAAAAAGACAGCGTGCATGTTCAAGGATACACAGTTGGGAAAATATATGTGTAAGTGAGTTGAGTCAGTTAGGAAAAAGATGTGAGGGTCATTGATACAGAGTTATGTATGAAAGAATTAAAGAAATGTGGAAGTTGTTAGAGCACTATTATACTTTTAAATAAATATATGTATTTCTTGCATTGCATGTACATTTGTAAATAAATACATACATATACAGGGCGTCCCACGTAATATTAGTCACAATTTTTCGAGTACTGTGATAAACTGACAAAAAAATGTTTGAAACAAAAGTTGATCAGTTTTCAGTTGACTACAATGCAATAAAATGAAATTTCAAAAAATTCTGTTTTCGAAAATTTTCAAAGTTACTTTCGTTTTTTTAAATAACATTTTATATTTTTTACCTAATATTATTGTAACCTATATCTAGTCGAATTAAACGACCTAGCATACCATGACCTTCGTATGATCTTGAAGGCAAAGAAGAAAATTGCAACAAAGAATGACAATCAGCGTAAATAAGTGATAATTTAAACTCGTGTTTATTATTAAGACTCGAAATTACATTCAAGTCAGGAACCATTGGTAAATGTCGTATTACTAGAAATTTACCTAAGAACTTATCTACGAACTATCGACAATTCGCAACCAAGAAAAAATCTAAACTTGTGATAGCTTAGCTTAGCATTTTACAGACGGACTACGTAGTCTGAAGAACGTTGATTGAGCACTTATGGTCCTATTGCTTAGCTACTACGATTTCCAGATTTGTCACCACTTGATTTTTTTCTATGGAGTAAACTGCAGTCAACAGTTTTAATAATATTTTAATAATATTTAAATGTTCCATATTTTGCATTGCAACAGTATAAACTCTCGATTGCAGAATATCCCCTAGAAAAAAATCAAGTGATGATAAATCCAGGAATCATGGTGACCAAGCAATAGGACTATAAGTACTCAACCAATGTCCTCCAAACTACATAATATGTCTGTAAAATGTTAAGCTATGTTATTACGGGTTCACATTTTTTCTTTGTATGAACTGTCAACAGTTCGTAGATAAATTTTCAGATAAGTTTCTAGTAATACATTTACTCAAGGTTCCTGATTTGAATATAATATCGGGTCGTAATAATAAACACAAGTTATCACTCATTCATGTTCATTGTTATTTTTGGTTGCAATTTTCATTTCTTTGTCTTCAAGATCATGCGAAAATCATGGTATGCTAGGTCGTTGAATTCGTCTATATACAAGCTGCACTACTATTAAGTTAATAATACAAAATGCGATTTAAAAAAACGAAGGTGATTCTGTCAATTTTCGAAAAAAGAATTTTTTTACATTTTTTTTTTTTACTGCATTGTATAACTAACCGAAAACTGATTAACTTATGTTTAAAACTTTTTTTTGTCAGATTATCGCAAGCACTTGAAAAATTGTGACTAATGTTACGTGGGACATCCTGTATATACAGGATACCCTATTCGAAGATTCAGTCTCAATTATTTCCTAAACTATAGTTCGTTTCGAAAAATGTTTGGAATGAAACTTACTCTGTTTCAAGGAGGACATCATATAATGGTCATAAATTGTTGCCAGCTAGACGTGTTCTGAGAGTTCAAGGTGACCATGATTCTTTTTAATGAAACTGTGTATTTTTTTTAAATAATCGGTTAGTTCATTTCAAGGTGAATTTATTGATAATCTTATTTAGTCTTGAAGGATATATATGTATTTATGTAATATATATGTAAGGATATATATATGTATTTATTTATTATTAAGAATGCACATTGCATTTATCTCATCGATTAATATTACACGTACAGGGTGTACGAAAATTAATTCATTCACGAATTTACGTCTTTTAGCGTGATTCTACGTCTTCGAAACGATCAAGATTTGCAAAAATATGTAATGGCAAAATTATTTTGGAATATAATTTTCAGGGTAAATTTTTTTTCCTATTAATCATGTTTTATTGGTGATAAATTTTTTGTTTAAAGCATCATAAAAAAGGGTTGCAAATGAACCGTGCTCTCAAAAATTTAAAAGCTAATGTTTTGACATTATTATTGCTTTTATTGCGTCGAAATGCATCGAGCGTTCCCTCATTATTTGCCATATTAATCCTTTGCACTCGAGAGGCATCCTTTAGTCGCCATTTGATAAAAATTCGAAGATCGGTATTAATTATCATGTCAAATTTAAGATAATGTAACGATGTGTGAGGTATAATAATTATATGTGTCAATTATTATACTATTCCTTATTTACTACTCAAAAAAATATCATCAACTTTATAGCAGAAAATCTTCGAACTCGTACTCTTCTTTAGCTAAAACATAATTAATTAATAATTTTCCTGTCTTATGCGGTTTACTCGATGCATGTATCGAGTATGATATATATAATTAATAGAATTTAAGAATTTAGGTGGAACACTAAATTCAAAGCAAATCTCGATAAAATAATATAGAATTATGCTATAATAATTCGGACAATTTTCACACACCCTGTAGAATAAGAGACAAAAGTATTGCACACTCAACGATTGTCAGTATTTTTTAAGTAATTTCAAAACGGTACATTTCTGCAGAAAAGGAAGATCACATGATTATAATTCAAATTTTGATAGAAGTTTACTTTAGTGACCTTTCCAAAATTTGTTAACTAAAAATGAAAATTGTGGGTAATCTTTCTTTATATTATTAATTCAACATTATATATATGTGTGTAATTATATGTATATATTGCACTGATTCCAAAAAACGCTAAAAATTATAGCGTGTTATCATTTTGTTCCCTAGTATATATCCCCTATTTATATTCGCTTCATATAATTGTCGAATAAATTTTCTCAGTACAGATCAATCATAATTAATTTCTTTATTTTATTATATTTCACATTTCAGTTCATTTCTATATTTCAGTTTATTTGATAATTAATTGTCCTTCCCTTAAAATTATGCATTTTTGCATACAATAATTGAAGGTTCCATATCAAAAAACGACCCTAATCGATTATACTGATTTTTCAAAATAAGAAGAAAATACTCTATCATCTTGAATTTGTATAGAACTGATGAAATTTTCGTATATTTTATTATAATTTAGAAAATACATCCTTCTTTACAATAAAGATTCCACGATGGCGAGAATCTTGTTCCTAAATATTAGAATGTGTTATTATTTATGAAAATTCAAAAATTTTGACGTGTGTCGTTTCTTATGCGAACTTCAATTTTTCAAGCAGTTATCTTAGATATGAAATATGTAAATTATCCTATTTTATATTTTTCACATGCTCGTGCTACAAAAATGTTAGTATATGATTTATAAAAGGACTTACATCTTTAAGTGCGGTAGTTTTACGAGTAACGTTACTCATAACGGTGGAAGAACTACATTCTGGACCACTTACTCCATCTTTGCTAGTTGCATTTACCATAGCAACAATGGTAATAGACAAATTTGTACGGATCATGTACGAGAACATGCAAGCTAAGAACATCATCGATCCTAAAATTGCTCTCCTTGGTATCCTTTCTGAAATACATGTATGCAAATTTTCGTTTGATAAGGATTTAGAACATTTTATTTACAATTTACATGTTATATTGTTTATTGCAAATTTTATTTAAAATTTGTTAGATTTTAATACTAAATAAATTACTGTAAGACATAATAAAGCCTAGATTTATGATATGGGTATGCAAATAACCCTAGATGAATAATATTTATATCTTATTTAATAATATGTTATATTGTTTAATGTAAATTTTATTTAAAATTTGTTAGATTTTAAATAGTAAATAAATTACTGTGAGACATAATAAAGCCTAGATTTATTATATGGGCATGCAAATAACCCTAGATGAATAAAATTTATAATAATTTATTTACAATTTACATGTTATATTATTTATTGCAAATTTTATTTAAAATTTGTTAGATTTTAATACTAAATAAATTACTGTAAGATATAATAAAGTCTAGGTTTATGAAATGGACATACAAAGGACATCATCTTTATTTAATCCTTTAAACTCCTTAGTCAAATCACACGGATAGTTGTAGACACATTATTAATGTAACTAGCAGAAAAATTTATTCGAATTGATTCCTATCAACTAACTGTCTTCTAAAGTATATTTAAAATAAAATAATTGAAATAATATTAATTCTTGGTTTCCAGAAAGTTTGGCTGGGTACGTTTGGACTCATGCATTTTCTTTTATTTTATCTTCTTGAATACCTTTTTGTTCCTGTTTACTATTTTTCAATAATTATAAATGTTCAGTATATAAAAGATATTTGTTATCGATTTTAATAGCTTATACAAATTATATCACCTTCTTTTTTTTTAAATACATTTTTCAATACAAAAATGAATTTTTCAAGCATCACATGGAGTCACACGTGAAAACCAACGAAGAGATATCTTTTTAACACTAAACGTACCAGAACTCGCTTCACTTATGTTTCAAATTCTTTCCAATAATTGTTTCACTAACTGATCTGGTTGTTCAAGTGTTCACACCGAAACCAAACACACATATCAAATTTAGATAAATGAAGCTATAATTTGAGAAGTGTATCTGAGACCAGAACCAAGGTTCCAGTTGGAAAACTGCAGAAAAATACGTAAATTTCGTAAAGGGGGAATGATGGAAACATTACGATCGTTAAGTCTTTAGCATTCGAGGCCAAGTCTTTTAAAATGGGTGGGAGGGGGGGGGGGAGGGGGGGGGGTAAGACCGACCATCGCAATAGCACTTGCAATTCTTTGCGAAGAGGAACGGTAGCACTTATCTTAATTTTTACTCAATTTTTGTGACCGGTAGCTATAATCACTCGTCGTGTGTAGATGGCGTCTCTTGACCGGTAACTATAGTCAACCGTCGTGTATAGATGGCGTCCCGTGACCGGTAACTATAGTCACCCGTAGTAGCGAAAGGATTAAGGTATGCAAAGAATTTTTCTCGGTAAAAAATAAGTTAAGAGAAAAACGGAAAGCCAGAAATTAAACGATCTGATATAATGTGAGAGGAATCCAGCTTATCAATTCTCGAAGCTGGGTTGAGTAACGCAATGGGTTGTCATAGGGTCTATAAAAACCTTGCCGAAGGATTCGATGGCACGCACTTTTTTGACAGTCCACCGTGTGCACCACGCATCACAGAAGACCTAGAGCCTCCGTTTATTTTATATCATCAAGAAATATAAAATATAATCAGAATCAAAAGTTTCTTTTAATTTATTAACCCGATCTTACCATAATAAGAATTTACAGAAAGTCAGATGTGCGAAAGAAATAACAATAAATGTACGATTATAAAGTAAATTTTGAAAAGAGTCATTTGACCCCGCTTGATACATTTAATGTTAACTGTTGCGTCCCGAATACTGCAACTCGCACAGTGGGAGTTTCGCAGGGTTGTGTGGGCAACTTTCACCGCTACCCCCATTGTCTTCCGGCGGGAGAAAACTCTTCGTTAAAGTTCTAGGAAGGCCTTGTCGAGGACTAAGGAAACAGCCACAGATGGGGATGCTAGACGCCAAACTGGGACGTTTGTAAGGCTCGTTTACGCAGATGCGACAATGTTGCTGGGATGCGGCCTATTCTAAATTACCACTATGCCGTCCAGTGGCTCCACGTTGGTGTCATGCGAAAACTATCGGGCAAATACCGGTGACACCACGTTGGTATGCGTAAATGACGAATCAGTCCTACCGGTGCCAAACGAAAGAATCCCACAGTGTTAACACTTTTACCACTTGCGCTAGAAAGACGTGCCACGCACGTCGAGATGCTTTCGTTCCAAAATCACCAGCGACGTGTACACCACGTCGATAGGCATTTATCGCAGAAATAAAACTGACGTGGGCTGCACGTTGGCTAACAACCAGATCGTTCATTTCTCGGGCTACAGTTCTAGAGTGCACAGCGTCGCATAGTGTCATCGATATCTTGGAAATATTTCAGAATCGATATAGTATCTCGCGGCGCCAATGTGACACCTTACGGCGTATTATACTGTAGCATGGCACCGCAACCGTGATTTTATAGGTAGCGCAAGTGGTTAAGTGCTACGCCAGTCCCCAGGAACTGGCGCTAGACTCTTCCTTCGGGCCCGGCTAATCCTAAGGGAGCGGCCTAAACTAGGGCCAAAAGGTGCTAACTGTGGTGTTAAATTCTTCGCCATCTTTGGACCTAACGTTTGGGAATTCCTGTCATAATTCCTGTTAAATTCTTTTATTACTCAAAGAAGGTATATCTATCTTTGAGTGTTTCTCTAGGGCAACTGACCGACTCGTGAGAGAGTGTCAAGAGGGTACCATGTGTTACGTGAAAAATTGATAAAAGAATTTCTGTTTTAATAATAAAACAGGTTTATTTAATTAACATACACTAGATTCTTTTCAACTCTAACACGCAATCCTCTATTCTCGACTACATACCATCTACTATGTGCCTTGCACCTTTGCATCCCTATTTAAAGCCAGATCTATCTCTTTCTATACACACGCTTTCTCTCTCAATCATTCTACAGCCATTCCTACAAAAGGATTTGCCGCTGTCATTTGTTTTTTTCCGCGCCAAACACTCGAGTCGAACCCGATCTTATATACACCGTTGTCATCACCTGACGTTAACGTGGAGCAATCCTTATCTACTCCTTACACCATGGTGCAGTTCGCCTAAACTCCTAATTCTTATCTAATATTTATATAAACATTCGTTCTCGGAATTTATTCGCACCTTATATCCTAGGTTGACTTTTGTATAGAACTAAACTTGCCTTCTCAACACACAGGATTATCATTTCTGCAGTAGATCTTTCTAGATCTCTATCCGAAAATAGAGTCGATATGTACTTAACAAGTTCACCTGTTGTACACAATGGTTACTGGATATCGCGATGTGTTTATAAAGAGAGCAGACAGTTGATGGTCTTATGTTGATGCACACGTAGTCGCAGTATGCATATACATATACAGGGTGTCGAATTTTAATCGATAAATGCGAATTACCCGTAAGCTATTCGTTGAATGGAAAAATGTTTCAAATAAGAAACAAATGGTTCCTACTGTAATTGTTTTTACTGTAAGTGAACCCGTGTAGATCATATGAAGGTAAACTTTGGTTTTGTAAATGGGAATATATACTTTTTAATGCACCATTCGATTCAGCTCGCCACTCCTCATAAAACAGTGTTATTCACTCGTATGCAAATCTAGCAGTGTAGGAGATACTTCAATATATAGATACAGATACACGGTAGATTTTCTTCTCATACAAGCTAGTAAAATATTCATTTAACACTAAATTTACGCTAATACAGCATTTCACATTTTTACTTCAAACAACAAGAAAATAAAAAAAGAAGAAAAGAAATCTTTTTTTACCTTGCAAAGTAATCTACATCCTTAGATATCAAAAGCATCGAAAAACGTAAAAAAAATCGATTTTTTTAAGGTTCTGGCCCAGTATATGTTTTGCAAAATAAAGACATTGGTCTCGTTATTTTACTGTAATAATAAATTGTTACAGTTTAACAAAAAGGCATCTTTATACGAAATATGCTGAATATATTTTGGACTGACATGCATAGGAAAGATATTACTGGTTCAGAAGGTTGATAATACTGAAAGTATGAATATCATTTTCTAATTAGATAATTACTGTGGGTTGCAGAAGAATAAGTACCTACTTGCAGTGTATGCACTTGTATGCAAATATAAATGCAAATGCGTATGTGCAATATACAAATGCAACCTTCGAAGTATCAGCCAGAAATTACTGATTCATGGGCACTCTCAAAATGAAGGTGATAACGCATACAGCATAATTTACAAACAGTTGAAGAGATATTTCGGAGCATCTCTCATTTATACATATACAGGGTGTCCCCAAAAAACGTATACACACTTTAATACCTTATTCTTTTTAATTTATTTTGTCTGTAATATGTAGTCCATCTAAATATATACTATTTTTACAATCACGCAAAGTGTGTATAGATTTTTTTTGGACACCCTGTATATATATATATATGTGTGGGGGGAAGGGCGTGTGTGCTTGTCTTATTTAAATTGACACAATAAAATGTCTCATTAGATGATTCATCAGATGATCAATCATCTGATTATACAATCAGCTAAACCAGGAGAAATTGTAATAAAATTCCATGATTTTGAGGAAGAATTGACATAATATTAATTTTCTGAGATATCGACGTTTTTAAGGACATTTCAATGTCAATTTTTGTCTTCAGCAAAAATCTATATTTTTCATTTCAAAATATTATTTTACATAAAGATACTTTGGTCTGAATTATTTTTACTATAGGTCCAATACTTCTTAGGATATTTATAGAAGCAACAATAAACTTACTGATTTTTCGATCATTTTTAAATTCAATTTTACCAATTTGAAAGAAAAAAACAATTACAAGAAACGAAAGTTATTCATTTTCTTTTTCTAAAATCTTAAGAACTTTTTTATTCGACACAAATGTTATAACTAAAAAGAAAAATAGATT